ATCAATAATAAAACACGCTTTAACTTCGAAAACATTCAGAGTCCAAGTGTGAATTTTTATTTATCATAGCAACTAGGTTATCCCTAAGAATACCACATGCAGTATTCTTCTGGGAACTTCCCGATACATTGATTATCCTGAATATACTAAGGATAGTATTTCTTCAGGAACTTACCGTTTATCGGCATCATAAGTCGATCGCCTTCTTTAGTAACAAGCCGATACGCGCCACTCGAATAGACTGTCTCTACTACGAACGGCCCTTCCCATTTGGGTTCAAATTTGCCTTTCTTCTTAGAGTTAAGGATCATAGGTCGACGTTCGGTTAAGACCAAATCTCCTTCTTTAAAACTCCGTTGTCGAACCTTTTTGTCGAAAGCTCTAGAAATTCTGGCTTGGTAAAGCTCAATGTGCTGTTGAGCTTCTAAGCGCTTTTCATCGAGCATCTCGAGTTCCTCGAGGCGTTTCTGATGTTGTTCTTCGGTCGTCATCTGGGTTGCGAGAGCGATTCGAAGAGACGGAATCTGTATTTCCAACGGAAGGACAGCTTCACACCCGTACACCAAAGAATACGGGGTTGCTCCCGTCGGTGTACGCACCGTGGTACGATAGGCCCATAGTGCCGCGCCAAGTTTATCATCCCAATCTCGTTTGTTAGTCTTCACGAGTTTTAATAAAAGTTTGATGATAGTCTTGTTAAAGGCTTCAGATAATCCGTTTGCTGCGGGATTGTATGCCGTTGACGAGAGATCCTGAATTCTAAACTTCTCGCAAAACTTAATGTAGGCATTGCTGACGAATTGAGGACCATTGTCGTGTATAATCCGTCTTGGGACACCATATCGGTAAATAATGTGGTGTTTGATGAATGCAATCACGTTGCTTGTCTTAACTTATGGTGTTTTATGAATGCAATAATGTTGCTTGTCTTAACTTCCCTGAGCGGAATCGCTTCAGCCCATTTGGAGAAGTAATCGGTAATCGCGAGAATAAATCAGTCACCTCTGACTGACGGGGGATTTATGGGACCAACAATATTCATTCCCCAAGTCTCAAAAGGCCACGAGGTCGCCGAAGGATGTAAATGCTCCGGGGGTTGGTGCATATAATTCGCGTGCACTTGACACGCATGACACTTCCGGGCATATGCGACTGCATCTTTGATCATGGTGGGCCAATAATACCCCATTCTTCTGATGCGATCATAAAGTTTGGGGCCAGGTTGGTGTGCACCGCAAACCCCTTCGTGCGTCTCTTTCAGGACTTCTTCTGCTTCTTTAATCGATAAGCAACGTAGTAGCAAGTCATCGTACCCCCTGCGATATAGCGTTCGACTCTCCGTGTTATAGTAGCCATTCTTCTGATGCGATCATAAAGTTTGGGGCCAAGTTTGTGTGCACCGCAAACCCCTTCGTGCGTCTCTTTCAGGACTTCTTCTGCTTCTTTAATCGATAAGCAACGTAGTAGCAAGTCATCGTACCCCCTGCGATATAGCGTTCGACTCTCCGTGTTATAGTAGAATCTTGGTGCTCTTCGTCGGATTGAGTCCCTCTCCTTCACGTCTTCTGGTAAGATTCCATGTAAGACATAATCGATGATAGGGAAACGCCAATCTCGGGGTTCAAACTCGACTTGAGTTGAATATACCTCCTTAACATCCTCTTCTTTGTCATCTTCATTGTGCGGGTCGGATTGGTCCGACCCGCGCAAGCGCCGGTCGGATTGGTCCGACCCGCGCAAGCGTGGGTCGGATTGGTCCGACCCGCGCAAGCGTGGGTCGGACTGATCCGACCCGCGCCGTCCGATCCGCGCAAGCGTCGGTCGGATTGGTCCGACCCGCGCAAGCGTGGGTCGGACTGATCCGACCCGCGCCGCGCAGTCCGGAACCTGAAACGTGTTTTGACGGGTTTTAAGCTGTTTTCACAGGATTTATCTGTTCCAGGGGTTCTCAACTGACTTGATATCATCCCCAAACGTGGTTAGGCTGTTGTTAACTGAAGATTGAGCCAAATCACTTGTTCTCATCCAAAATAACCGCATCCGGGGCCTATAAATATGAACCAAAGGCCTCCATTTTGGAGATCTGGAATTTTATCAAGAGGGCGAGGTGCTACTGGATTGGAGAGTCAAGGAGCACGAAATTTCAGCGAAGGTTAGCGAGATCCCGGCGAACTTCAGCACAAAGGAGAAGCTGTTCGAAGGATCCGAAGCCCGTACGTCCATTCCTTGAGATTAGGCTTGGTCTTAATCTCGAGAAGAGCCCTGATTTCGCTTTGTCGATCTCAGCGCTTCAAGCAAAAAACCCCTTCGGTGAGGTAGAAGCTCTGCCGAATTTCCAGTTTGTTTTCGTGGAAAGCTTGTAGGCGTCAAAAAATGCTGAAAGATATCCAAATACAGCTCAAGAGGAAATCATCCAAAAAGGCAGAAGAACACAAGTCTTTACTGTCTCGCACGCGAGACAGACTTGACTGTCTCGCCGTGCGAGACAGTCTTTACTGTCTCGC